CTTCATTACTCTGGTGTACTCAGAATTCTCTTTCAACAGAATTGAAACACATTAGTTCTTCTTCAATCTTCTTTTTTATTGTCAAGCTTTCGCATACAGCCCTAAAGCCTGTTCTGTCCTGTGCCAAACTTATTGTCTCCGACACACCTACCCCCATTACCCTAATCACTGAGTCAATGAATCTCATTAAGGGTCTTCTTTTCCTGCTCTGTCCCTCCACCCTCCCAAGCATGACGTCCCTCTCCAAGGACCAGTCCCTTCTTGCAGTATGTCAGATGAAGCTTCAGAATCCTTGTCTACAAGGAGGAGCCTGATTTAACCCCTCTCTAGGATGAACCTGTTTGTTCTCTTAGCAGTCCATGGTATACTCTGTACTCCAGCACCAAAGCTCAAAGGCATCAGTTTTCTTTCTATCATCTCTAGTCATTGTCCAGCTCTCTGATGCATAGCAAGTAATTGCAAAGACCTATATCAGGCACCCCTTAGTCTCCAGACTGATGTCATTAATCTTCAGTGCTTTGAAGAGGTACCAATTTGCCAGTGCAATTAATCTTTTCTTTTCCTAGCTGTTGGTACCAAGGGTGTTGATTGTGGAGCCAAACAAATTAAAGCTGTTAACAATCTCAATCTCTTCACCATCTATCATGATGCTTCCAGTCGCCCCAGTGATGAGAATCTTTGTTTTCTTAGTATTAAACTTCAATCCATATTGAAAGCTTCAGTCCTTGACCCTCAGCAGCCAGCACTTGAAAACACCACAGCCCTGGTCAGACACAACTGAAACGTCAAAGTGGTATTTGTGCCTTTTAACACCTTTAACAGATATTTTGTAACAGATTTTCCCAATGCAATATATTGTTGAAATTCTTGGCTGCTGCTTCCATAGATATCAGTTATGGATCCAGATAAATTGAGATCCTAAACAACTTTAACTTTCCATGGTGACTGAGTCCTCTTTCAATCCTCATGCCATATTTATGTAGTCCACCTTCTAAGATTATTTTCTCAGCATACACAGTGACAACAGGGAGAAAGGGTACAACACTGGTACACTGCTTTTCTGCTTTTAACCCACATAGTGTCTTACTCTTTTTCATTGACTACCTCTTGATACTACATGAACAACAGTGAAAACTTCCCATTCTTTGCAACATTATCCATAATTTGTTACAATTAATATAATCAAACGTTTTTTGCAAATAAACTCAAGTAAACATTTTTTTTAAAACCCTCTGTTTTCAGCCAGGATCTATCTGATAGTAGTGTTAACATCTTTCATTAAATATTTTCACCTAAATCCAGAATACATCTGGCAGGTCTATTCTAATGTCCTAAAGTCATTTTTTAATTCTCTTTAGCAAAACTGTACTTGTGTGTGTATATTAACTTTCTTTGAAATAGGTATTATTTTATATTTATTAAAGTCTCTAGGTCAGTTATACTCCAAATTTCTTTTTTTAAAATTTAAAAATTAAATTATAATTTATACAGTCATAATCATCTAGTCTACTATGCCAGGAATAAAAAATGGAAGAGGAACAGAGTCATGTTCATTATGAAAAAGAGCATTTCAAAAAGTATTCTGAAGTACAACACTGTTGGTAGGGTAGAAAAAAACCCAGTTAATACAACTTTTACTCAAATTCACCCACTAGCCATAAATATCAAAGATGAAGAAATTGAAAACTTCTGCAGTCTTAAACTGATCAGATATATAATCAAGATGCACTAATAAATGTTGGTTTCTTTTTGTGAAAGTTAAAAACAAAGAAGCATCAGTCGTTGGAAAATATAGCCTTTTTCATTGCAGCTTTATTCACAATAGGAAGAAAATGGAAGCAATTGACATGCCTGTAAATGGATACATACATACAATGGAGTACTATGCAAACATAAAGAATGGCAGTGATGAATCTGTGAGTGGAGCTGGAATGCATAGTTCTAAGTGAAATATGCACATAAGGACAAATATTGTATTACAAGACATCAACAGATGTGTAGAAAAAAGCATACTTTAATCACAGATACTTGTTATTTTTGCTAATGGAAAATATGACACTGAATATGGTCGTTGTGAGCACACTTTGACCAAAGTTAATAATATCACTAAAAAAGATGTGCATATTAAATGGCAACAACTCCAACAAAGATCAAAACACAGATGTTTGCTCATATATGGACTAGTGTAGGTATATAGTTAGATGGCTCTGTACAAGTACACACATAAATGAGAACAAACAGGTAAGTACAGGGCATCAAGAAACAACAGAAGAGGGCTTGCTGGTCAGGGGGACAAGGCAAGGAATGGACTTGCCATTAAACAGAACAAGGTCTGAGCACCTTCAGGAGGAAGGTTTGTCAGCAGAGCTAAAAGGCTTACAACATTTATGCAGGATAAGAGAGACCTGAGTGTGCTCCGTGCAAGGGTTTCACTTCTGTCTCCCACCAGCTTGGCAGCAGGGACCCAGGTCGCATGGCAGTAACTGAAAGCTGTGGGCTTAGTTAGCATTATGGGTCGCAAAACAGAAAGAGAAAGTTGCAAGTCCTAGCAGCATAAACCTCCAGAACCGAGATGTGAAAATCCTTCCCAGCAGCTTATGGAAGCCAGGAATGGTGACATGAATACACATCTGACTTGAGCCACAGTGTGCCCGAGCCAGTGTGACTTGGACTTAGTGCTATAGGAATGGACATAAGTAATTTAGTGAAGAATAAGTGTTTCCTTCATGGTAATCTGTTGTTATTGTTTCCTCTCTATAATAATGATGGCTTTTACTTTTAAAAAAAGAAGAAAGGAGGGGAAACCCCAACAACACAAAACCTGTATGAGACCAAAGGTTCAATATTTCTTTCAAAGCCAAGAACTTAGGGGAGGGGGCAGGAATACTAGAGTAGTGAAAATGAAATTACTAGAACACAATTTAAAAAATATTCCTTTTGAGACATTGTGAAAAATAAAACTAGTAAGACTCGTGTAAAAATTGTCAAGTAGAAACCCAAGCTGCTGTGTAAACTTTCACCAAGATCACAATAAAATACTTTTTCAAAAACATTTACAATTCCTTTAGATGCTTAATTTATAATAATTTATGTTAAGAAGCATATAATTGTTAATTCCTTGAACTGGATGATTCAACAAATGTCTGCCTCTTTTAAAGATAAAATGGGATTAATGATCAAACCACTGCTTGTTTAATTTGTAATTATTATGTGCCGATGAGTGAGAACATAATTGTAGACCCTCGGGCGAAATTTCAGAGTCTGTAAATAATACGGGAGGAGAGTGCCCATCCTTCTCACTCAGAGTAGCTGGTAGATTCGAACTGCCTGCTGTTTGGATTGGCAGCCCAACTCCTTTCCTGGTAGGCCACCAGAGCCATTACATATGTAGATATGAAGGGTGGAAACATCCCAAATAAATAAAACTACAAGACACTTTTCCTTAGCCAGTGGATGGAGGTATATTGTTGAGAGTGTTATCTTTTTGGTCATTTACAATCTGGGGCAGCAAGATTAAAGGTTGCAAGCTCCAGAATAAAGAGCACCTGTTAAATGCTCCTTTTCATCTTTAACTGGCTCGTTTTCTTTGTGTTTTACGCTGGTTTTTCTTTTCCTTAGAAAGTCTTAAACATTTTCCTATTTAAAAAAAAAATCAAAGCGGTTTCAGGTTTTGAGAGACAACAATTCATTACTTTCGAGTTGAAACCAACTCGTAGCTGACTCTAGATTGCTCTCTTTCTCTCTCAGAACAGCTGGTAGAGTAAACCTCTCCCTCCTATGACTCATTGTCACTCTGTAAACAACAAATCTGAACTGTGTCCAATCCTGGCCCTCCTCACCATCTCCGATAGGCTCAAACCCGTTGTTACAGTCTTTCATTGTGTCAGTCCATCTTGTTGAGGGTCTGCCATGATACTAAATTGAGCAGTTGTGATGATTTACTTTGCTAGCCAGACTTTATGGTAACCAGACTTTATTTTCTTAGCTGCCTTAAATTTCCTGTTGAATTTAATCCTTCGGTGAGATTTCCAGAAGATTCAAGAGCAAAATTTTTAGAAACTGTTGTTGTTAAGTGCCGTCACGTTGCAGATGACTGATAGTGACCCTATGAACCAAAGACCTGAACACTTGTATAACTTTCATAGTTTCTCCATGTTCATAGAGTTTCCAGAGGCAAGCTATTTCGGAAGTGAATGACACTCCTGCTTCCAGGTTTTAACTAGGGAGCTCCACCAAACACTATCCACCATGGGTAACCATTATCTCATTTGACACATCAGTGTCACAGTGTTTAGCATCACAGCAACCACGAGTTACCTCTGTACAGCAAGTGGACAGACCAGTGCTATAGCACTTAGAACAATGTTTGACCAAAAACAATTAAAACCAGGTCTGGGGGCCACAGATTAAAATCACCTTTGGCTTGGTAGCATAAATTTCTATTTTAGGTGAAAAAAATTTAAGACCATGTGTTCTTTTAACAGATTATTAAATTTTGCTTTAGAAAAACAATTGACTGAAATAGGGTAGTATTTATGCTGATGACTGCTTTCTGTTGCCTTCTGTTCTGTTTGACTTTGCAGACTAAAGTGTGTAGGTTTTTGTCTTTAATTTCTAAAATCTCCAAACTTGGATGCATCCTCTTTCTTGGTTCAGAATACACAAGCATACAATCACATAAATAAGCAAATACAATTCAGTGCTTTTTGTACTCACATTAGAGGAGGATTATGTGCTCTTTTTATCTGTAGATGCTAGATTTTAGTTGTCTCAGTTATCTTTAGTGTTGGTTTCTTCCTTTGAGCTTTCTACATTGTATCCAAAGTGTCACTGCTTCCTTTGTTATCTGTAGTACATCAGACAGGCTGTCATGGCTGTCACCCATTTCTTGCCAGGTATCACTGATAACCTTGAGATTGTGTGATGTGTGTCTATGGGTTCTCTGTCAATTCTCTGTCAAGGTTCCTCCTACTAATTGTTTTGCATTATCCTTTTCTTAGACTTGAATGAAGCTGTCCCGGAGACAGAGCGTCTGGATTCAAAGGCACTGAAAACTCGGGCCCAGCTCTCTGTGAAGAATAAACGTCAGAGGCCCTCTAGGACAAGACTCTACGACAGTGTCAGTTCCACCGATGGGGAGGATAGTCTGGAGAGGAAGGTGAGCACCCTTGACTGTTGTCTGACTTGTAATGTTGTGCTATATCATTATTCCTACAGCTTACTGATGACAATGATTTTCCTACAGCCAGGTTCTGTGCCCTGGAATTGTTGGAAATAACTTAAACAATTCACTTTATTTCCTGAATTTGATATGTTGTTATAGTTGAAATTATTTTCTTTACTCAATGAATTAACCAAGAGCATTATCTATATTGTCGTATTTCATGAAGGTGTCTTTTATATCCAGCTGTTAGTTTTGCTTAGTGGGAAATAATGAATGTATGAGAATTTATTTCTCTCTCTTATTGGTATCAAATGTGTTAGCTACAGAGGTAATATAGTCAATTGTCATGAACTGTGCATTTTCATCTGTAATTTAAAAACAAAAATTTATTTTCAGGGACATTCACTAACAAAAGGTTGGTGTTATTTCAAAACTAATATTACATGGAACTAATACTCAATAGTATAAGCTCATTTACAATCTTTTATACCAGCAGCCATCAAGCAGTTTCTATAACCACATGTGTATTACTAAATCACTTCTACCCAAGGGTTTGAGAACTTCCTCTCCAGAATCAGATTCTGGTGCTCTGCCCCTCACCTCAGTGGCGAGCAGTGCATCCTTCTCATCTGATCACGTACCTGAATTTCAAGAAATACAACAGCACTCAGAAGTGGAGCCTTTATCCTCTGCTTTGGAAGACACTTCGCTTTCCTCCCTTTCAAAATCTGATCATACAGTGGAGGACTCTTCTTGCCACAATCAAGCCACCACCAAGAAAATATTACAAGAAAAAGGTATTGTTCCTCCTTTTGTTATTTTTGCCTTTGCTAATGTAACTGACACTATGATTTGTATAATATAAAAATGTGCTCAACTATAAATTCTGTCTTCTCATAATTTATACTTAGCATTGTTTACATTTTTTGTTGTAGAATAAGAAAATCACTTCTCCATCCCTTTTAAGTCTTTCTTTTACGTTAGTTTTTTTAATCCCTGTAAGTCTCTACAAGTCTGTTGTAAAGGGCATTTTTTAAATTTTGTTTTTTATTTCAATGAAGATCTACAGAGATTTTGGAATTCCATTCATTCATTGTTGTACTTTTCTCCCCACCCACACCCACCCCCACCCCCTGTTTAAAGGGCGTTTTTAATGGAACTTCTCTAGATTTCATGGATTCACAACTCGGAGTTTTAATATATATTAACATAATTATATAGAAGGTAAAAGAAAGACTATGGAGAACAAAATAGTGTTGGTCTTAACCCCTTAATTGGTTTTTATTTAATGATAAAGATGTGTTTGAAGGTTAATTACTTTTTTATTAATTTTAATGAAAATTTACAGAGATTTTGGATTTCCATTCTTTCATTCATTGTTGCACTTTTCTACCTGCCAACCACTACCCCCTCAATACACTCTTCTCTTCAAAAAGTAAAAAAAAGTTCCCCCATTGTTTTACAGTTCCTTCCCCCAAGTCCACTCCACTATGCAGCCTTCATTCTGGACTCCAGTCATGACAATAATACCTAATCACATATCTCTTTTAAACAGTTGTCTTCCTCATCTGTTTCAATGCACTATACATTATTTATCCCATCTTTCTCAGTCTCCCCCCAACCCCAATGTTAGTCCTGTTTTATAACAGTGGCACTATGCAGTATTTGTCCCTTTGTGACTGAGATCTTTCACTCAGCATAATGTCCTCCAGGGTCACCCATTTTGAATAATATTGCATGACTTCTTTGTTTTTCAATGCAGCGTAGTATTCCATTGTGTGAATATACCACAACTTCTCTATCCATTCATTTGTTGATGGGCACTTAGGTTGTTTCCAACTCCTTGCTATCGTGAACAAAGCCACGATAAACATGGGTGTGTATATATATCTGTTTGGGTGTCAGTTATCGTCTCTTTGGGGTATATTCCCAGTAGTGGAATTGCTGGGTCAAATGGTGTTTCTATTTGCAACTTTCTGAGAAAGCACCATACCGCCTTCCACAGTGGTTGCATGATTTTACACTCCCACCAACAGTAAATAAGGGTTCCAGTTTCTCCACAACCTGCCAGCATTTGTTGCTTGCTGTTCTGTTAAATTTTGCTATTCTTAACTGGGGTGAGATGATATCTCATAGTTGTTTTGATTTGCATCTCTCTTAGAGCTAGGGATTTTGAACATTTCTTCATGTCCTTGTTGGCCATCTGAATGTCTTCTTTGGTGAAATGTCTGTTCATAATCCTGTGCCCATTTTTCAATAGGGTTGTTTATCTTGTTGTGGTGCTCAAATATTTTATAAATTCTAGATATAAGTCCCTTATCTGACATGTCATGTCATTACCAAATACTTTTTTCCCAGTCTGTGGCTTCCCTTTTTACCCTGTTGGAGAAGTTTTGGGATGTGCATAGGGATTTAATCCTTAGAAGGTCCCATTCATCTATTTTATCTTCTCCTGGTTGTAAATAGTTAATTACATTTTTAAATGTTATTGTTATGTACTCTCAAGTTGATTCTGGCTCATAGTGACCCAATGAACAAGGTCTCTAAACCTTGTGCTGCCTTCATCATCTCCAACACAGTTGAGCCCATTTTACAGTCACTGTGTCAATCCATTTTTTAAAGTCTTTCTTTTTTTTTTCATTTAGGTTGTTTATTTTTCATTTCAATGAACATCTACAGAGATTTTGGAATTCCATTCATTCATTGTTGCACCCTTCGCCCCACACAAGCCCCCCTGCCCCGTTTGCTCCTCTCCTTGAAAAGCAAAAGAAAAACTCCCTCATTGGTACACAATCCCCCCCC